GCTTTCCCCCTTCTCTCTCTGCCTGCCTCTCTGTCTACTTGTGATCTCTGTCTGTCAAATAAATAAATAAAATCTTTAAAAAAAAAAAAAAATGAGTTAAACAAGTTGTTCAACTTCAGGTAAATGTGAGTCAGTACCAAGAAAAGACTTTTAAGGTTGGAATAATTGATCTGGTAGCTTACTTTCTTCGGCATATGCAGTATATTAAATTTACCAATAATCTCAGTTTGTTCACCATTGTTTCGTGCATCCCACTCCCTTCTCTGGATGCTTTTTTTTTTTTTTTTAAGATTTTATTTTTAAGTAATCTCTATACCCAATGTGGGGCTTAGATTTACAATCCAAAGATCAAAAGTCACATACTTTACCAAGTGAGCCAGCCAGGCCTTCCTGGATACTCTTTTCTTTCTAATGAAAGAAATGATTTAGTGACTCTTTCAGGTTAGGGTTTGTGGACAATACATTTCTTAATCTTTGCAAGTCTCTAAAAGTGTCTTTATTTTGCATTTGTCTTCCGCCATTATGGTATCTACTGTCTTTTTTTTTTTTTTTAAAGATTTTATTTATTTATTTGACAGAGAGAGAGAGATCACAAGTAGACAGAGAGGCAGGCAGAGAGAGAGGGGGAAGCAGGCTCCCCACTGAGCAGAGAGCCCCATGTGGGGCTTGATCCCAGGACCTTGAGACCATGACGTGAGCTGAAGGCAGAGGCTTAACTCACTGAGCCACCCAGGTGCCCCATATCTGCTGTCTTATGATACCTACTGTGTGCTATCAGTCTTACAGTAGGTCCTTGGTAGGTTACCTGTCTTCAGAATCTGGTGGCTGTTAAGATTTTCTCTGTAATGGGTTATTAGAATTTCATATGCCCTATTTACTTTATTTATGCCACTTTGTATTCACTGAACACTTGAAAACTCGTTTTTTTCTTCAGTTTTAGAAAACTGTCAGCACTCACCTCTTAGGCCATTCTCTCTATTTTCATCTTTAGGGACTTCTCAACTCCTCTGTCACTTATGTTAATGTCTTTTTATTTGTCCTTCTTGTCTCTTAGCTATTTTCCCATGTTTTGACTCTCTGTGTTTGCTGCCTTTTGAGTGAACTCCTTGCTACTGTGTCCTGACTCACTGACTCTCCCTTCAGTCATGTCCAGTCAGAGTTCGTCAGGTCTGTGAAGACACTGTGGTTTAGTTCTAGGCTCTCTCATTTTTCTCTTATCCGCTTGTTTTTCTTCCCTTTCTGCCTACTTTTGTTTAATAATTTAGAGTTCTCTTGACAGATATTATTATTTGATTTTTTTTTCAGTATCTTAAACATATTTCTTTTAAACTCATTTGATCCAGGTTTTTTGTTTGTTTTATTTGTTTCTTTGTCTTTTTGGGTTTTTTGAGCTTTCCGTGGCTGGTGGAGCCCCACTCAAGTCTCTGGTTTTGGTTACCCTGGTTCCTGTGTTCTGTCATGAGGGGAACCTGTTCTTACCCCACGTGCCCTCTAGAAACTAAAACTTCTTCTTACATCTATTCGTTTTCAGGTCTGGAGCCCTTTAAGCTTCTAGCACCAGCTGTAGCAAAACATACGCTTTGCTCCATCTTCTGCACCATCTGTCTGTTTTCTGCTTTCTCCCAGACTTTTTTTTTTCCCTCCCATTCTTTTTTGTCCTTTTGGGTTTATACCTTTTTTATTCATCTGGAGTCATCTTGATGGGTTTTCAGGAGGGAGGCAAAATGAGGGCATGTGTTCAATCCACCATGTTTCACTGACAGAGCAGGTAGTAGTTTTAATTTGCAACATTTCAGTACAAAATGATTAGTAAATTGGTTAAATCTTACAGTTTATTAGAAAGCCCAACCAAGTACTAGCATGCCCTCTAATCTTTATTGAGGCTTATAAGCTATAGATCGACATTTTATTTTTCAAACTTCTAGAGGGATATATACTTTAACCTTTATCAATTAATATGCTAGTTTTGATAGTTGATTGCAAATACTTTATATGATTTAGTGAGTGAGATCCTTTTCAGTATCTAAGTCGTTTAGGGAACAGTTTATAAACCTCACTGAGGCCCCAGTGCAGATATACATCTTAAAGAATACATTCCCAGAGCTTTTAGGAAGATCGCAGACTGCTGATTTACTGACTGTGAGTGGCCATGGGCTTGTTCTTCAATCTGTGTATTTATAGTAACTTGTTCAGCAAGTTCCTGGTCTTCTGAGCTTCTTTGTCTGAGTTGCAGGATAATGAACAAGAACAGAATGTCAAATAAGATCTCCATCAATAATAGAAAAATATACACATAAGTTGAATAACATTATCGTGGTAGTGGCATGAGAATCTTTTTTTAAAATTTCTGGGTTGTGTGGGGCGCCTGGGTGGCTCAGTGTGTTAAAGCCTCTGCCTTCAGCTCAGGCCGTGATCCCAGGGTCTTGGGATCGAGCCCCGCTTCAGGCTTTCTGCTCAGCGGGGAGCCTGCTTCCTCCTCTCTCTCTCTCTGCCTGTCTCTCTCCCTACTTGAGATCTGTCTGTCAAATAAATAAATAAAATCTTAAAAAACAATTGTTTCTAGGTTGTGTGGTATGTGTACTGAAGAAAAAAATTTTCACCATGTCCTCGTTTTGTATAATTAGCATGTGACAAATAGTAGTCATTCTACAAATACTTATTGACTGAAGGAATGAATTATGGATTGGGGTTCCAACTCCAGCCTCTCGACTTCTACTGTGTATTGCCCTGAACCTGACCTCACTTTCATGACAGTGACTCTACCCACATTTCTCTAGCTCTGGGTTCCTCATGCCCCAGCCTCATTTTTGCTTCATGGGGAGCCCAGGGAAAGATGGTAGGATAGTGCATGTTCTGTGTAATTGTAATGCATTCTTTGTACATGGTGGTTGATTGAAATATTTTCTTTGTATAATTGTTTTTCTGATCATAAAATTATATATACTTATTGCAGAAAAGTTGTATAATTTAGAAAAGAATGAATATTTTTTTTTAAATCACACATCCAGAGATGGTTGGTTAATATTTTGTTTTCTTCCTTTTGAAATTTTAATGACTACCTATATGCATCAAGGTTTGGTCAAGAAAACAGAAACCATTCTAAGTATTTTATTTTATTTTTATTTATTTATTTATTTATTTAACATATAATGTATTATTTGCTTCAGGGGTACAGGTCTGTGAATCATCAGGCTTACACAATTCACAGCGCTCACCATAGCACATACCCTCCCCAATGTCCATAACCCAGACACCCTGTCCCTCCTCCCCACCCCCCAGCAACCCTCAGTTTGTTTCCTGAGAATAAGAGTCTCTTATGGTTTGTCTCCCTTCCCGGTCCCATCTTGTTCATTCTAAGTATTTTAGCAGGAAGGGATTTAATCCAGGAAATTAGAGTTTATAAAACCATTGGCAAATTTGGGGAAGCAACAGGAAGGGGAAACAGCTATTGGCTCCCAGTAAAGTAGCATGTATAAGAATCACAGCAAGGAGCCATTGATAATATTAGCTGTGTGTAACATGGAAGTAAGTGATTTGTAGGTGTGTGCCTGGAGGTGACCGTAAACCTCACACGGGCAGTTTAGCATGTGTCCCCCCCAGCACCTGCTGGGGGGGAGGGGCACAAGTGCCTCTCACTGGCGGGATCTGAATCAGGACCCGGCTGGCAAGGTTGTTTGGGAAATACGGTTTGTGGGCATCTGCCCCTTTGATACAGAGACCATTCACAAGAAGCAGAATGCTCTGTCAGTTCTGAGCAATCCATTTATAGAACCCTTTCCCTTTGTCACCAGTGTCTGTCTTCTACGGCTCTCACCATTAGCTAATGCCTGTGAATATCTGGCCATGTTTTATTCTAGGCAAAATAAATCCTCAGGTACATTGTTTGAACTTCTGCCAACTGTGAGGGTTTCCCTTCCTTGATACCCTTGAGGGCCACTCCTGAGTGGGCTTCGTGGTGTCCGCAGTCTTCTTCTGGAAGGTGTCAGCGTATTGGCACCTTCCATCAACTAGGCCTGCATTTTCCTTCTTCGGTCTACCCGGTGCTCAGAAACTCCTCAAGAGGCCATATGTGTGAGTTGACGGAAGGCTGGCAGTAGCAAGAGTATATGCCACAGGAGTCTGGGCTCATGCAATTTACTTATGCCTTTGGGACCTGTTGAAGCCTGATGTCTCGGTATACCTCCTTTAGAAGATGGCTTGCTGTTCATATGCCTCCCTTTATAGCTGGGTGCTCGTGATGGACTGACCAGATTGCATGGTTACTTAATGTCCTGTACCTTGGCATGTAGTTTCTACCAGAGCCCAGCAGCAAGCCACCAGCTACTTCTCGAGCAGGCTGGGTGGGTTGGAACGGGGCATGACTTTGCTGCATATTGCCAGGGGGCTATCCTGTTGACTCTCCTAGTAGGGTTTGACAGAGGTCCCCAACAGAGCTTCCCTGCTGTAGACACTCTGAGCACCGTCAAAACTACCAGGTTGTCAGGCCCAAGGAGCAGAGCAGCTTCACTGCAGCTGGGACCTGCTGCACAGGCTTCTCCTGCGCTGGTGCCACTCAGAGCAGACAGCCACATGGGCAAGGTGGTAGAGGTTAGCAGCAATACTTTCAAATGTGGTAGAAGTTGCCTCTGAGATCCAAAGAAGACCCAAAGCACTTGAAAGGATGGGGATGGCACCAAAGAGGGACGGGCCATATCTGGCACGTTATATTAGCCTTTCGTCATTGGGCTCTCATTGCACGTACACTTTCGTACTCGTGAGCTTTGTAAAAGCCTTTGCTGCTTGGATGGCTTCATCCCTACTCTTATTAAGCAACATCCCTGTGGTTTAACTTAAAAACCATAATGAGGGCAGCTCTCTATATTCCTGTGAATGTCTGTGGAAAAGGATGAGTCATAGTACAGTTTCTTGGAGTGGGGTCGTGCATTTTCCAGTGTGTCAAGAAGCTTCAGTGCTTGTTTTTAAACTTTAATAAGAGTTAGCTTTGTTGTTTGCCTGGACAGATGTGACGCCAGCATAGCCAGACTCTCTGCAGAGCACAAAACAACTTACGAGGGGCTCCAGCACTTGAACAAAGAACAGCAAGCTGCCAAACTTATCTTGGAAACAAAAATCAAAGATGCAGAGGGACAGGTATGGCCGATTCCAGGTAGCCTTTTAAAAATAGGTAATTTGTTCTTAGCTGAGAATAACATGGAGTTGAGAAACCAGCCAGGGTGCCCAGAACGTGCGTGTCTTTTCCTTACTTCTTCCTCCCTCTCTCTCACTGCAGTGGCCCTTCATGGGTATGGCAAGCAAAGCACCGAGAGTTTTTGGTAAGGTCCTACTTGTAAAGATTCTTTTCCCCCATTCCTAAAACAATGAACATATTCATATGAATATGAAATTCCAAACTGTAGATCCAAAACCATTTCTTACATAGGTAAGTGATTGGGCTTTCTTTTATATGCCACATGTCCCAAGTCTGGGTTCAGGTAGTAGTTACTCATGCTGTGTGCTACCTCACCACAGTCCTTCATGGGAAAGGATTCAGACAAAGCTAGAAGGTAGGCTGGCTGATGAATCTTAGACTATTCCACCTTGAAATCCACAGATAAAGTTCATTAAGCAAAACTGTTGGCTTTTCCATTTGTTTTTTGGCCACTTAAAAGTTCCCCTTTGCCGTGAAGGGGCCCGTCTTCTAGGACTTGCCTCATGGTTAAAGAGACCATTCCAGTGAAATGAGGCATCTGGTCAACTTATTGGATTCAAAGTGGTTGTGTCCAGAATGTATCCAAGGAAGATCTAAATCTACTTATGTGAAAAACACAGATTTTATAAAGCCATGAAAAAAAAAAAAACCCCTACAACAAAACAAGTCCAACAATTTTTTTCACAGAATGAGTGAGGACAGAATTATCACATCAAGAAATAAATGCTTAGGAAATACTAAGCTTCCCAGTAGCCATGCCAAGTAAAATCCATATAGAAATCTATAAAAGGGATACTTTTCCTTTGTTCTAGGTCCAATAAATACTTGTTCCCTGAATTTCTAAGTAAGGAACATAGAACATCATAACTTTTGCAGCAACTAAATGCATGTCATATAGGACTAGTTTTATATTAAATTTTAGTAGAAGGGCGCCTGGGTGGCTCAGTGGGTTAAGCCTCTGCCTTCGGCTCAGGTCATGGTCTCAGGGTCCTGGGATTGAGCCCCGCATCAGGCTCTCTGCTCGGCAGGGAGCCTGCTTCCCTCCCTCTCTCTCTCTGCTGCCTCTCTGCCTACTTGTGATCTCTGTCTGTCAAATAAATACATAAAATCTTTAAAAAAAATAAATTTTAGTAGAAAGACAAGGGAAAGAGCTAGGTCATGAAAAACAGGAGTTGGAGGGATATAATTTACAAAATCTTCTGGAGACTTGAATTGATATGGAGGTAAATCTGGACTTTTTTTTTTTAAGATTTTATTTATTTATTTGACAGAGATAGAGAGCACAAGTAGGCAGAGCAGCAGGCAGAGGGAGAGGGAGAAGCACACTCCCTGCTGAGCAGGGAGCCCAATGCAGGGCCTCCTCCCAGGACCCTGGGATCATGACCTGAGCTGAAGGTAGATGCTTAACCGACTGAGATACCCAGGCACCCTGTAAATCTGGGACCTTAATGGTGTTTGTAAGTGACAAGAGTTCCATTCTCTATGACTAGCAGCCACGTTTGTGGTAGAAATTCCAGGGTAAAAAACAAAACAAAACACTGTATTTTTTTGTCAGCAGATGGACATAGTGGTCCCGGGGAGGAAGTAGGTTTGCTTATCAGAGAACTATAAAGTTAAGTACTGAGAGCCTAATGAATATTTTGGCAGTGTTCCTGGTCCTGATTTTTGATGAGTGTGCATGATAGAAAATGGAAGTGGAAAGACAAGGTGAGCTCCTAAATTAATTGAGTAAATTATATTGAACCTTAATGTCATGGACTAGAATGTAGCTTATTAAATGTTATCTGAGGTTACCTCTGAAAAGATTAGGTGTGATATTACAAGCAAAGCTTCTTTCCCAGATTTCTCAGCTTTTGAACAGAGTGGACTTGTCGATATCAGAGCAAAGCACCAAACTGAAGATGTCCCACAGAGACAGTAACCACCAGCTTCAACTTCTGGATACAAAGTAAGTAGTCAACTAACAGACTTCTTTGGGGGGTTGAAGTTCCTGGGAAGCCTATTCCATAGCACAGTTTTTTGCATCTTCACTTTTATTTATTGTACAAAACAAAGTGAAAACAGTCATGAAAGTTAAGAGGAAAAATTTCCCTGTAGCATGTTGCCACTTTACATGCATTAATGTTTTTAGCAGTTGGCTTATAATCTGTCTTGTCATGCAGTAAACATATCTTGAGTGCTGGCCTAGGTGCTGAGCATCCAGAAATTAAGAAGAACAGACTCTGTTCTTATCTTTGTAGAGGATATCCTATCCTGTGGAGCTTGTAGTCTAGGGAGTGGATAAGCGTTCATCAAATAATGACTTGAGGGAGTGTGAGCTGTATTATTACTAATGGTGATCATTGCTTTGAAGGAAAGGCACATGGTTGTGGTAGGCTGCATAATAGTCCCCAAATATCACCATGTCCTAGTCCCTGTGAATATGTTACCTTATCTGGCAAAAAGGGACTTTGCAGATGTGATTAAGGATGTTAGGATGGGTACTTACCGTGGGTTACCAGGGAGACCCGATGTAACCCCTGAGTGTCTGTAAGAGGGAGGCAGGAGGGGCAGAGTCATGAGAGAAGAGCACTGCGGCGTGATGGAGGAAGAGAGGGGGGTGAGGCGCTTTGAAGATAAGGAAGGGACCACAAGCCACAAAACACAGGCAGCCACCAGCAGCTGAAAAAACAGCAAGGCAGTGATTCTCCTGAGAGCTTCTGAAGGAACCAGCCCTGCTTGTACCTCGACTTTAGTCCAGTGAAACTGGTTTTAACCTCTGACCTCCAGAACTATGAAAGGGTAAGCCACCAAGTTTGTGGTGGTTAGTCACTACAGCCACAGGAAGCTGAAACAGTGGCGCCCTGAGAGGGAAGAACAGAGGCCTGGTGGTGGGGCCTCCTTCCTCAGAAGGCAGTGCTTGAAGTTTAAGAGCTGAAGAATGAATGGAATTCACTAGGTGGAGGGAGGTAAGAATTTATGGGAGGGAGGGGTGTGGCATCCAAGCAGCTGCAGGCTGGCCCGTGGTGGCTGGAACAGAGAGGGAGGGGAAGTGAAGCCTGGGGAGGAGGCGGGCCTGTGGCCGGCCCTTGTAGCCACATCCAAGGCCTTGGTGTCTAACTTGAGTGCAATAAGGAGCTGGAGGGTTTGAGGCAGATGGGGTGAGAGAATAAGATTTATATCCTATCTTTAAATGGTCTTGGTGGCAATTGGAGAATGGATCGGGCCAAAGCAGAGATGGGGACATCAGCTGGGGGCATGGTTGCGGTAGTTAATTGGGAGAGGTGTGCACTAGGGTGATTGTGACCTAGCCCATTGACACCCTATAATGGGTTATACTTTCCCATTTTGTTACAGTGGTGCTTTAAACTGTACTTGCCCATGGGGAAACTCATCATCTGCCCTTCTGCTCAGTCACAAAACCATCTTTTCCTATCATGAATTTTCCCGAGCTTGGCATTTTCCTGCCAAAGCAGAGCCAGTAGTCACTCTATGTGTTTGTATATGTGTGTATGTGTATTTGACTTAATATTTATTTTTTAAAGATGATTTCAGTGTAGAACTGTGATAGAGACATGTGGAAATTTTAAATCAATCATCTTCCTGGTTCTTGCATCTCATTGTACAATACTTAATGCTGTTTCAGGGTTGTTGCTGAGTTAACAGGAATTCTCTTATGGAAAGCATGTTTCTTTTCCTCTAATTATCTGTATTTATATAATCGTTGAGTTATGTCACCACTTCTCATAGATCCTACAAGCTTTCCAAGTACAGAAAAAAATCTCTTCAATCCTCTTCCTTCCATCACAGAGGAAAAAAATAAACATCTTGGTATTTTTTCCTCTCCAAATTACTTCCTTAGGAGATATTACTAGTCAGCAGACATGAACATCTTTATTTTTCTTCCTACAATTTAAAGTCTGGAAGTCTAGACACAAAAGGCTGTTCACAGGGGAGCGGGGACAAAGCCTGGGGCAGAAGGTCAAATTGGGGACCCAAAAGGTAAACCCCTGGTTGGGTGAACTAGGGAAAAAGCCCATTCCAGGAAGAGAGCCTAAGGAAACTCACCTGTCTAAATCTTGGCTCTGGGTAGAGGTATAAAAGATATTCCTTGAAAGTTCAGGACCACAGTTCAGCCTTTATTTACTTATAATATTTGTTTGTTTTTTAAATAAGCTCTACACCCAACAGGACTTGAATTCACAACCCTGAGATCAAGAGTCATATGTTCTACTGACAGAGCCAGCCAGCTGCCCCCACAATACGGCCTTTATGTTGATTTAGAGCTAGAATTCCCATTACCCAAGCAGCTTGAAGAAAACCACAGTGGATAATGTAATCTCAGCATAATCCTGTTTGGCGGTGGCCTGAGATGCATGGTGTAAGCAAATGCAAATACTCAGCATTCGAGGCTTCCCACAAACAGGTGAAGTTCTAAGGAATACAAGTGTGTAATCAGAAATTGTAAAACGAAGGGAAAAAGCCACAGAAGAGATAGAGTCAGAAGAAACGGGAAAAAGCGGATGCAGACAGACATCTAAATATGGCATATATGGGAATTATTGGATAAAATAAGTGTATGTGTATGTAGAGACATTTGTATGTTGTGTATATGTATTGTGAGTACACACACACCCCTTTTGAAAAGTGTGACTAAGGAATGAGAGATTATCAAAAGTGGCTTGCCTGAACTGAAAACAAACAAAAAGAACTTCTAGAAAATATGATCATTGAAAGTAAAAGTTGTAACCTCTGGCCCCGCCTGATTAGGGAGCCTGCACTGTGACCCCAGGCGGCCTCGGAGCCCACCCTACAGGACTTTCCAGCTGCAGAACCCAGCCTACAGCCCTACCCAGCACGTGGAGCTGACTACTCCCACTTATTTTGTTGAGCATTGCCTGCAGCCTTGCTCAGGCACGGAACCCAGCCAATAATTCCTCCCCAAAACAGAACGTAGACTGGGGCCTTACCTAAGCGTGAAGCCCAGACAGTGAGTGCCTGATCGCAAAACACAGCCACCAGCCCCACCCACCGTGAGGCACAGCTGCTGCTGGCTCCACCTGACCAGGGAGCCCGGCCAGTAACCTCCCTCCGTAGTGCAGCACAGCCAGCAGCCTGCCTAGTTGTGGAGCATGGCCTGAGGCCCTGTCTGATCATGAAGCCAACTGAACTTGGAGGCTAGCCAGTAGCAACATTTGTCTGGGAGGTATAGCTTGGGATCCCACTGGATCAGGTGCAGTTGCAGAGCTCAGCCTGCAGCCCGTAATCATGGAGTCCAAATAGAAGCACTGCCCAGCCAGGGAACACAGTCTGAGACCTCAGCCGACCAGAGGTCATTGCCCAGTACAGTTAGTGGCTCTGTTTGATCATTTAGCGTAGCCCAGCAGCCCTGCTTAAATGCAGAGCCCAGCTAGTAGGCCCATCTGACTGCGGAGCCCAGCCAGTGTTTCCCCCCACCCCCTGACCTTAGAGCAGAAGCAGAAGCCCTGTCCAACTAGAAACCTAACAGACATGTAGAACTTCCTATCCAACAGTAGCAGAATACAAATTCCTCTTGAGTGCCCATAGAACACTCTCTAGGATCGATCATATTTTAGGTCACAAAACCAGTCTTTTTTTTTTTTTTTTAAGATTTTATTTATTTATTTGACAGAAAGAAAGCACAGGCAGGTGGAGCAGCAGGCAGAGGGAAAGGGAGAAGCAGGATTCTTACTGAGTGGGGAGCCCGATGATGCCGAACTTGATCCCAGGACCCTGGAATCATGACCTGAGCTGAAGGCAGATGCTTAACTGACTGAGTCACCCAGGCGCTCCTGACAAAATAAGTCTTAAATAAATTAAAGAAGATCAAAAACATACCAAGTATCTTTTTTGACTACAATGGCATGAAACTAGAAATCAATAATAGGAGGAAAATTGGAAATTTCACAAATATGTGGAAATCAAACAACACACTCCTGAACAACAGATGGCTCAAAGAAAATCACAAGGGAAATTCAGAAAATCTTGAAATAATTGAAATAATTATGGGATGCAGCCAAAGCACTTTTATGAGGAAAGTTTGCAGTAATAAATGTCTACATTAAGAAAAAGGAAAGATCTGGGACGCCTGGGTGGCTCAGTTGGTTAAGCAGCTGCCTTCGGCTCAGGTCACGATCCCAGAGTCCTGGGATCGAGTCCCACATCGGGCTCCTTGCTCGTCAGGGAACCTGCTTCTCCCTCTGCCTCTGCCTGCCATTCTGTCTGCCTGTGCTCGCTCTCTCTCCCTCTCTCTCTCTGACAAATAAATAAATAAAATCTTTAAAAAAAAAAAAAAGAAAAAGGAAAGATCTTGAATAAACAACCTAAATTTATACCTCAAGGAATTAGAAAACAAAGAACAAACTAAGAACAAAAATAGCAGGAGGAAGGAAATAATAAAGATTAGGCCAAAATTAAATGAAATAGAGCATAGAAAACAATAGAAAAACAATGGGATGGGGCACCTGGGTGGCTCAGTAGGTTAAGTCTTTGCCTTTGGCTCAGGTCATGATCTCAGGGTCCTGAGATCGAGCCCCACATCGGGCTCTCTGCTCAGTGGGGAGCCTGCTTTCCCCTCTTTCTCTGCTGCTCTGCTTACTTGTGATCTCTCTCTCTCTCTCTGTCAAATAAATAAATAAGATCTTTTTAAAAAAGAAAAAAGAAAAACAATGGGAAAAAAATAATTAAACTAATTGTTGGTTTTTGTTTTGTTTTGTTTTGTTTTTTTAAGATATACCACATTGGGGGCTCCTGGGTGGCTTAGTGGGTTAAGTCTCTGCCTTTGGCTCAGGTCATGATCTCAGGGTCCTGGGATCGAGCCCTGCATCGGGCTTTCTGCTCAGCAGGGAACCTGCTCTCCACCCCCCCTCCTGCCTCTATGTCTACTTGTGATCTCTCTCTCTCTCTCTCTGTCAAATAAATAAAAGTAAAATCTTAAAAAAAAAAAAAAAAGATACACCACATTGAAAAACCTTTAGGCAGACTAACCAAGGGGGGGAAAAAACAGAAGACTCAAATAAAATTACAAATGAGAGAGGAGACATTATAACTGTTAGCACAGAAATACAAACGATCATAAGAGACTACCATTAACAATCATGTGCCAACAAATTGGATAACTAGAAGAAATGGATAAATTCCTGGAGACATAAAACCTATCAAGACAGAATCAGAAGAAAAAGAAAATCTGAACAGACTAATAACAAGTAAGGAGATTGAATCACAGTCCAAAACTTCCCAACAAAGAAAAGCCCAGGACCAGAAGGCTTCAAGGATGAATACTACCAAAATTTAAAGCAGAATTAATACCAATCATTCTCAAACACTTCCAAAAAATTAAAAAGAAAGAAACACTTCTAAACTCATTTTATAAATCCAGCATTACCATGGTACCAAGGACAGGCCAATATCCCTGATGAACACAGATGTAAAAATTCTGAACAAAATGCTAATGAACCAAATTCAACAGCAAATTAAAAGGATCTTACACCATGATCAAGTGGCATTTATCCCTGGGATGCAAGGATGGTTTGATATAGGCAAATCAATAAATGTAATACACTACATTAACAGAATGAAGGATTAAAAAAAATCATGATTATCTCAATAATGTGGAAAAGGCATTTGACAAAATTTGATATCCTTTTCGTGATAAAGACTTCCAACGAATTGGTTATAGGAAGAATGTATTTCAACATAATTAAGGGCATATATGACAAGCCCATAGATAATAATCTACTCAGCAGTGAAAAGCTGAAAGCTTCTCTAAAATCAGGAACAAGGTGGGGGTGTTCACTCTCCCCACTCATGTTGAACACAGTACTGGAGGTCCTAGCCAGGGCACTTAGGCAAGAAAAAGGAATAAAAGGCATCCAAATCAGAAAAAGAGAAGTAAAATTATCCCCGTTTACAGATGGTGTGATCTTATATAGAGACACTCTAAAGACCACATCAGAACACTGTTAGAATAATGAACGCATTAAAGTCGTGGTGCTCTCTGGCCAGTCTTCATGGTCAGGCAGGGCTGCAGGCTGAGCTCCACAGTTGCATGGGACTGGGGGTTGGCTTTCCGCCCAGATAAGGCCTAGAAGCTTTTTTTATAGTGGCATGGCTCTGGAAGTTGTACCGGCCACTCTTACATGTGTCTCATTGCCGAAGCTGGTCACATGGCCGCACGTACTGCAAGAGAGGCTGGGGACATAGTTTTGGTCAGCCACACATCTGAGGATTTCTTAATAGGAAAGAAGAGGAAAACAGGTAGAGCAGATAATTAGGGTCTTCTACCACGGTGTCCATTTTATTATTACTGTTATTATTTAAGTCATGTGTTCTTTCCTACTTTTATTCCATTTCATAAAAAATGAATACAGAAGTAATGAAGGGAAATTAGCAAGCATGGAGTATTATTTGGAAAGGATGAGGACCAGAGGAATGGAGGGTGGTTGTTTTGTTTTGTTTTTTTTCCTTTCAATTTGCTTTTTGGTTTAAATTAGGAAATATCTCTATGGGGCAAGAGCAATTTGGAGAACATTCTAGAGAAAGGCAGTCAGGCTCTAGTCCTGGGAGAGAACAGGGAGAAGGAGGAAGAGCCCAGGGAAAGAGGAGGCTGGAAGTGTGTCTTCTGAGCCAAGAGCACCGGGCACCCTGGGAAGGCAGAAATGAGCACCTGGCATGGCTGTGTGTCACTCTGACACCTCCACACCCGTCTCCATCAGGTCTTCAGCAGTAGGAAGTATTATCAGGTGCTTGTCTGTTGTATCCTCCTTCCCTGCCCCCCACCCCTATCCCCAATTTAGTGCTAAGGGCAATTCTAAAGGGAAGGTAAGCTTGTAATTCTGAGGGAGCCAAGGTTCATGCTGACATATTTATGAGAAATTTGATAGAGACTGAAGTTGTATATTGTAATTTTATGGTTGTTTTACGTCTAACTTGCTGATTTTCTTATTTTAGATTTAAAGGTACAATTGAGGAACTCAGTAATGAGATTTTATCTGCACGGAATTGGTTGCAACAGGAACAAGAACGGATAGAGAAAGAGCTTTTACAGAAAATTGATCAGCTTTCCTTGGTCGTTAAAGAAAACAGTGTAGGTATTGATGTATGGCATAATATAGTAAAGTTATTCAGCGGAGACCTGCAATGTTCATGAATAATCCCTACCAACTTAGCATTGATTGATTTAGCACCACATTAAGCTGCTCAGTTGTTTCTTGCCTTAGAATCCTTTCTTTTTCTATGTTTGTTATAAAGAGAGCACTTGGGCTTGTTTTCGTTAATAAAGGCAAAGTAGAAAATTTCAGCACTTTCAGCTAAAGTGAATTTAAGTCAAGACCTTCATGAACCAAATTGACTACCTGCATTTCTAAGTAAAACTAACTACAAACTTCATTCTACTTCGGTTGAATTTCATCATCTGGAAAACGCAGTGTTGACTAGGTTTCTCCCACTCAGCTCCTCTGTCCCACTATAACCACAGGATGCAGAGTCATGGACAGCTTGTCAACAAAATCTACCCTTTTCCCCCTCCATTTTCCTTCTACTTTTGCCCACTCTCCCAGAGAATGAAGGCTTGCAGAACTGCTCAAAAACCGTCAGGAAAGCCTTGCTTGTAGAGTATTCAAAAGCTCTGAAACTGGTATTTGTCAGCAAATATTTTTTTGGTTTGGTGATTTAGCCTGACCATCTTCCTCTCCCTCCTCTTTTCTTGCACCACTTCCTCCTGTTGGACTTGGATGAAGCAAAAGCATCTGGAGCAATTTCCATGTCTGACTCTGCTGTTTCTCAGGGCTGAGCTGCTCTCCAAGCAGACTGCATTGTACAACATCAAGACAGCTAGGTCATGCAGTAGTCCACTTACAGCTCTGTTTATAGTCTTGACCTCCAAAGCTTACCCACAGATGCAGATTCCCGTAAAAACCAGGCATGTTGGAAAGAAAAGAAAATATTTAATATTTCAAATATTTCTTTAAGTGCTCTCCCATATATTATCAGATCTACTGGTTAATTTACTTAGATTCATACTACTACATTTTTGGGTTTCTGTGGTCTTTGGATAACTGTTTATTTTTACATGTGGATTGGTTAATAACTAACAGTAAACCCCAGGATAATAGTAGCTTTAATAAGACAGCATCGTATTTCTCTTTCACATAAAAGCTATCTGGGGATAGGGAATGCAGGACTGATGTGGTAGCTTATCATTCCTCAACAACCCATGATTCTTCTGGCTCAACTCTGCCAATTCTAGACAGTGACCTTTGTTCTCATAGTTTAAGGTGGCCACTAGTGCTCCAGCCATTACGTCTGAATTCCAGGAACAGAAGGAAGCCAAAAGGGGCAAGGATAGGCCTCAGCTGCCTTTTAGCTTTTCCTAGAAGCTGCCACACACCCTTCTACTTATATCTCATTGGCCAGAACTTCATCTTTATGGCCAAACTAAACTCAGGAGACAGCAGAAAATGTAGTCTTAATTCTGGATGAGCTTACAACCCGCTGAAAATCAGGGGTCTGTTAAGGAAACAGGAGAGTGGATAGTTGAGCAAGCAACAAGCCACCTTTGTGATCCTCTTCCCTGCAGATTGTTGTTAAATGATACTGTGACTGATGCAGGTACAGGATAGACTTTACTTTTGGAATAACCAGGTGCAATTCTTCTCATGGATCTCAGGGAGCCAGCGAAAGGGACATGGAGAAGAAGCTCAGCCAGATGTCAGCCAGACTTGACAAAATAGAAGAAAGTCAGAAGAAGAATATGGAAGTGCAGAGAACAAAACAGGAAGAGGAGAAAGTGCATGGGCGCATCAGCAAGCTGGAGTTACAGATGAATGAGGACATGAAGGAAATGAAAGCAGAAGTTGATGCTGGTAGGCCAAAAAGCAGATGGCTCTCATGGGCTATTTTCTTCTCTTTTCTCTCCTTTTTTAAAATTGTTAGCCTTTATTCTTTTTTTAAAATGTTTTTTATTTAGATTCAATTAGTTAACATATGCTATATTATTAGTTTCAGAGGTAGAGGTCAGTGATTCATCATTTTTCCATAATATCCTGTGCTCATTACATCACATGTCCTCCTTAGTGTCCATCATCCAGTTACCCCATCCTCCAACCCCCACCCCCTCCAGCAACCCTGTTTGTTTCCAATGATTAAGAGTCTCTTATGGTTGGTCTCCCTCTCTGATTTCATCTTATTTTATTTGTTCTTTTCTTCCCCATGTTCATCTGTTTTGAGATGAGTGAGATCATATCAGTGAGATCCACGTAACAGTGAGATCATATGATAAATGTCTTTCTCTGATTGACTTATTTTTCTTGGAATAGTACCTTCTAGTTCCATCCATATCATTGCAGATGGCAAGATTTCATTTTTTTGATGGCTGAGTAGTATTCTATTGTATGTGTGTGTGTGTGTGTGTGTGTGTGTGTGTGTATATATATATATATATTCCATTCATCTGTCAGTGGACATTTGGGCTCTTTCCATAGTTTGGCTATTGTGGACATTGCTGCTATAAACATTGGGGTGCACGTGCCCCTTCGGATCACTACATTTGTATCTTTGGAGTAAATACTCAGTAATGCGATTGCTGAGTCATAGGTAGCTCTATTTTCAACTTTTTTCAACTTATAATTGTATTTCTTCAGTGTTGGTTGTGATCTCTCCTCTTTCATTCATGATTTTATTTACTTGGGTCTTGTCTCTTTTCTTTTTAGTAAGTCTAGCAGGGAGTTATCAATCTTATTCTTTCAAAGAACCAGCTCCTCGTTTCATTGATCTGTTCTACTCTTTTTTTGGTTTCTATTTCATTGATTTCTGCTCTAATCTTTATTAATTCTTTTCTCCTGCTGGGTTTAGGTTTTATTTACTGTTCTTTCTCCAGCTCTTTTAGGTGTAAGATTAACTTGTGTATTTGAGATCTTTCTTGTTTCTTGAGAAAGGCTTATATTGCCATATACTTCCCTCTTACAACCACCTTTGCTGCATCCCAAAGGTTTTGAACAATTCTGTTTTCATTTTCATTTGTTTCCATGAATTTTTTCAATTCTTCTTTAATTTCCTGGTTGACCCATTTATTCTTTAGTAGGATGCTCTTTAGCCTCCATGTATTTGAGTTCTTTCCAACTTTCCTCTTGTGGTTGAGTTCCAGTTTGAAAGCATTGTGGTCCAAAAATATGCAGGGAATGATCCCATTCTTTTGGTACCAGTTGAGACCTGATTTGTGACCCAGGATCTGATCTATTCTGGAGAATGTTTCCTGTGCACTTGAGAAGAATGTATATTCTGTTGCTTTTGGGTAGAATGCTCTGAATATATCTGTGATGTCCATCTGGTCCAGTGTGTTATTCAAAGCTGTTGTTTCCTTGTTGATCATCTGCTTAGATGATTTGTTTATTGCAGTGAATGGGCTATTAAAGTCCCCTACTATTACTATATTATTATCTATGTGTTTCTTTAATTTTGTTATTAATTGATTTATGTAATTGGCTGCCCCCATGTTAGGGGCATAAATATTTACAATTGTTAGATCTTCTTGTTGGATAGACGCTTAAATTATGACATAGTGTCTCTCCTCATCTCTTATTACAGTCTTCAGTTCAAAATCTAATTTGTCTGGGGACACCTGGGTGGCTCAGTTGGTTACGTGTCTGGCTTCAGCTCAGGTCATGATCCCAGGGTCCCGGCATTGAGTCCTGCATTGGGCTCATTGCTCAGTGGAGAGCCTGCTTCTTCTGCCTGCCTCTCCCACTGCTTGTGCTCTGTCTTTCTCTCTGACAAATAAATAAATAAGATCTTTAGAGAAAAAATTCTAATTTGTCTGGTATAAGGATTGCCTTTTTGATTTCTATTTTTTAGATTTTAGTTCTTTTATTTCTTCAGAAAGGGATTCTCTAGTGTCTTCTTTGCTTTTTTTAAACTAGTATCTTTATAACCGTTATTCTGAACTCTATTTCCAACATCTTACTTGTATCCATACTGATTAGATCCCTAGCAGTCAGTACTGCCTCTTCTTCTCTTTTTTGAGATGAGGTTATTGTCTTGTTGTTCTGTGCAGAGATGAACAGATGAACGTGAGAAAAAAATACTAAAATGGCAACAACAACCCAAGAGAAATATACACTAAACAAATGAGAAGAGACCCAAAACTGAAAAGAAGAAAATTCTTAAAAAGGATATAATCAGACAGGTGAACAGAACAGAGCACTATACTATATCCTGAGTGTATTTTGGTTGGTTTATTAGAAGAAACTACATCCCAAACTTGTAAAGAAAGAAGAACTTATATACTTACAAAAATAAGATTAAATACATTTAAAGGATAGAATGTAATTGTAAAGATGAAAATGCAAAAAGACTTTAACAAAAAAAGAAAGAAAAAGAAAGAGAGAATATGATCAGTCAGTGAAGAGAACAGAGCCATACACTAGATTCTGGGTGTATTTTGGTCTGTTTGTTAGAAGAAACTGCATCCCAAAATTGTAAAGAAAGAAAGAAATACACACACACACACACACACACACACACACACACAAATGAAATACAATGAAAGGATAAAATGTAACTGTAAAAATGAAAATAAAAAAGATTTTAAAAAATGAGTTGATAAAATAAGAAATTGGTAGGGGGTGCCTAGGTGGCTCAGTTGGTTAAGTGTCTGCCTTCAATTCAGGTCATGATCCCAGAGTCCTGGGATTGAGTTCCACATTGGCCTCCTTGCTCAGCATGGAGCCTGCTTCTCCCTCTGCCTGCCGCCACCCCTTCCCCATTTGTGCTTGCTCTCTCTGACAAATAAATAAAATCCTTTAAAAAATAAGAAATTAATTGAAAAAGAGAAAAAAATTAATATTGAGAGACTAAAGAATCGTGGGGAAAAAATAATGAATTCTATATGCTATATTCTCCTAGCGCTGGAGTTTTGCAGTTCTCTATGATATGTAAACTTGGTTTTAGCCAGATGTTCCTGCTGATCTTCTGGAGGAGGGGCCTGTTGTGCTGATTCTCAGGTGTCTTTGTACCATGTTGCCAGGGGGCCTGGCTAAGTAATCTGCTCCTGTTTACTCTCTATGGCTTTTGTTTCCTGAAGGCTTTCATCCTTTAGAGGATGAGAATGAAAATGGCGGCCTCCCAGTCTCCAACCCTGTAACCAGAAGCTCAGGGCCCCACTCCTCAGTGCGCCCTCAGGAAAAAGCAGTCAGTCACTCCCCTCTCCCTGGTCTCCATCTGCTCTCTGTGCTTACCCAGCCTGTGACTGAGCGTTTCTGTCTCAGGCACATGACTCCATTTCCTGTCTCCAAGTCCTGCAAACTCTTGTGGCACGCACCTGCACTGCTTCTCCCAGTGAAGGAAGAGAGGTCTCACCTCTATTTGCTGCTTCCTGAACCTATGCTTGGAGAGTGGTCACCCAACTATGCCACAGTTCATGGTTTATGGCAACCCTGAGCTGAGAGCCCATTCCTGGGTTTCCTGATTCCAGCCAGCTTCCCTGCTCTGATGCCTGGGAGCCCTGCCATTCTCGGCTTCTCCTGGTCTTCCTGTGACCCCGGGGATCCTGATACCACACTGCCCCACCTAGGATCTCATCCCACTTCCCCTCCTGAGTGCTTTTCAGGCAGGGATGTCCCTCACTGGAACAAACTTCTAAAAGTTCCTATTTTGTGCTCCGCTGCTATATCACTTGCCGGTAGTTGGCTGACAGAAGCTCCCAACCCCCACAGTTATCTTCCCACATATTGCCTTGGATTCATTTCTCTGCACCTCCTACTTTGCAGAAAGTGGTCCCTTTTCTATTTGTAGAGTTGCAGGTATTCTTTTCTTAGCTCTGTGGTTGAGTTCACAGGTGTTCAGAATATTTTGATAGCTGTCTAGCTGAATTCCTGGGACCAGATGAAACTATGGTCTCCTACTCCTCTGCCATCTTGGACTCCTGCTCATGGGTTATTTTCAGTGGGATCTGAAAACCAGGTAATGAGCATCCCCCTCAACTACCTGTGATCCCAGCTAACAGTAATCACAGTGAGATGTCCTTAGGTGATTTTCTAAGTAGCTGTGCTGTATTGAATTAAAGCGTTGTTTCAGCTCTAAATACGTAGAAAGCCACCACAAGGGACGGGCACACAAATGAACATTGCTCAGTTTGCAGCTGATGTGCACTTTCTTTCGTGCCATCTGCGGGTTCGTTTCTGTTCATAGCCACGATCATTATATCTCAGAAATGAACCTCTATCTTGACGTGGCTTTTGAAGGCTTAATGTGGGCAGTATGCTACCATGGCAGCGAATGATTTTCCTCCTCTCCAAAGTCAACAGGGCCCATTAATTCACATTTGTTTAGAAGAAAGTTGTAAAGCTGATTTCCAGGTCTCTAGTACTGTCACGTATAAAGGACTGGTTAGATTGGCTGACACTGTGAGCTTAGGAATACAGTCCTGGAACCAGTACGTGGAAGTTACTTGAAGACACTTTCTAACTCAGCATGAGGCAGGAGTATCCTCAGGTAATGGGTCCTAAAAAGACACTGGTGCCTTGTGAGCCTGAGAGCTCTTTGTGACTGAACATGTTCAAGTGGAAGCTGGTTGGTTATGGTCGGGAAAGACAAGACAGTCTTACAGTGACGGTCTTACAGTGTGACGAGGGGCGCTGCATTATCTCCTAGCTCCTTCCAATTCTAAGGTTCCATCATTTTCTTTTGCAGAATCTACTTTGGCCCACATGGAAATAAATGTAGTTCGTTATCCCAAGAATAGTTTTGTTGTCACTACCAAAAGTTTATTATTTTATTTTAATTAGAAGTCACAGAGGTACCTGGGTGGCTCAGTTGGTTAAACATCTACCTTCCACTCAGGTCATAATCTCAGGGTCCTGGGATCAAGCCCTGCATCAGGATCCCTGCATGGTGGGGAGCCTGCCACTCCCCCTGCTTGCGTACCCTCTCTCTCTGACAAATGAATAAATAAAATCTTAAAAAAAAAAAGTAGAAGACACAGCTCAATTTATTCATTGAAGAACTTGTGAAGATAAAAATGAAATTTTTTCTTTGTCTTTGGGGCAATTAGAATATGGTACATGAATATTTCATCAGTGTTTAACTTCACATCATTCCTGCAAACTCTTGTGGCACACATCTGCACTGCTTCTCCCAGTGAAGGAAGAGAGGTCTCACCTCTATTTGCTGCTTCCTGAAAGGAAAAAAAGGTTCGTTCCCTTCTATTCAACATGCCATTGAGGTGGTTAACATTCATCTAATAAGAAGGGCAGATAAACTTTTTAAAAATAAAAAGATTTACTTTTTCCTACTCCAAAAACAATATTTCTTGTTTTCTTTTTTTTTTTTTTAAGATTTTATTTATTTATTTGACAGACACAGATCACAAGCAGGCAGAGAGGCAGGCAGAGAGAGAGGGAGAAGCAGGCTCCCTGCTGAGCAGAGAGCCCGATGCGGGGCTCGATCCCAGGACCCTGGGATCATGACCTGAGCCGAAGGCAGAGGCTTTAACCCACTGAGCCACCCAGGCGCCCCTCTTTCTTGTTTTCTTAATAGGAAATAAGAAAGCACAAAATATTTTTTGAAACCCTCATAACTTCTCTCACCCAGGGGTCATCTTTATATATGTCATTTTATACATATACGTGCTTTTTCAAGTAAAAGCTCATACCATACATTTTTCACCTACTCTTTTACATGTTGTATCTTTCTATTTAATGTTATTTTTAATAAGTAATATTTGTTCCTTATATGACATGAATTGTCAATAGAGAATATTTTCTGAGAGAAAATTCTTCCTTTCCTCCTAAAGATTTATTTATTTTTAGAGAGGGAGAGAGAGCATGAGAGCATGAGTGGGAGGGGCTGAGGGAGAGACTCAGTGCTGAGCATGGAGCCCGACACAGGGCTTGAGCCCAAGACCCTGAGATCATGACCTGAGCTGAAATCCAGAGTTGGACCCTCAACCAACCAACTGAGCTACCCAGGTGCCCCTGAGAGAAAATTCTAAATTTACTAATGAAGATGAGAACTTTTAAACATATATTTTAAAAACCCATAGAAATACAGAGTAATATGAAATGCTTTTGGGGTGGGGAATTTTTTTCTTTTGTTTTGCTTTTTATTTTGAAATTATTTCAGATTTAGAAAAACTGTAAGAATAGTCCCAAAACTATTCATCTTTCATAGAGACTAACCAATTGTTAACATTTTGGAAATTTTCTTTATCTCATTGGGTGATGGGAGCACGTGGGCGTGCGCACCTCTGTGTGTGTGTGTGTGTGTGTGTAAATATAATTTTTTTCCCTAGGTCATTTGGGAATAAGTTGCAGAAGTTACGATGCCTTTTTACTCCTTTATTATTTCAATCTATATGCCCTTAGGACAGGGCCATTCTCTTAAATAACTATAGTCCAGTGAAATATTGATGAAAATTTTTTCAATATTCAGCTTTCACTGTTGTTTCTATTATAGCAGACCTTCCCTGGTCTAGGTTCTATTCCAGAATCATACAGCATAGACAATTGTCATATTTCTTAATTTAGTGAATTTTAATATGGATCAGTTCCTCGGTGATGTTACATCATTAAAGAATCCAGGCCAAAAAAGAATCCAGGCCAGTATTTTGTGGAATGTCAGTTTGGGCCTGTTTGCTTCCTCTTAATTAGTTTCAGGTAGTGCATTTTGACAGAAATGCCACAGAAGCAGGGTGTCCCTCACTTATCAGGGAACCTTATCAGGGGTATGTGATGTTGGTCTCTCCTGGTATTGGTGAAGTTAGCTTTGATAACCTTGGTTAAAGCGGTACCTGCCAGACTTCTCCATTGTAATAGTTCCCTCCCCGCTTTGTAATTAGAAAGCAATCTGTAGGGAGATACTATAAAACTGTGTAACTATCCTGTCCCCTCTCATACTTTTACTCCAGTAGTCTTAGCATCTATTGATAATTTTTGCCCAAATCAGCTATTACTATATGCTGTAAAATTTGACGCAACATTGTATTTTAATATTAACTCTTGCAAAATTTACCTCTTCTTAAAGGGTTTACGGCCATCTATGAAAGCATAGGATCCCTCAGGCAAGTTCTGGAAGCCAAGATGAAGTTGGACAAGGACCAGCTGCAGAAGCAAATCCAGCAGATGCAGAAGCCAGAGCCCCCCATGTGAGGGGAGCTGGGACAAGGACCTCACAAGTGGTTTCGCTGGTGGGGCGAGAGCCAGGTGCCGCTGTGGCCAGGCGGTCACTGCCTTCAGGAGTGTTCTGTTCATGGCGTGCATGTGCCAAGCAATGTGTTTTCATGGGTCTAAATGTTTACCTTAAGTCTCGAAAACACTTCCTTTAAAAGTATTAAGTACAATTTTTGCCACTCTCTTTCATTTCTCTAAATTCAATGGAATATCCTCCCGGCCCCTAGATTTGGAAAGGCTTTTGTCCCTCTTCATTTTATGAATGAAAAGACTTAACGACTTTCCTTCAATGCTTGACGCTCTAGCCAAGACTTTACTATTTTGAAAAATGTCATGGTGATTTTTTTTTTAATTAAGAAACTAATGAATTGTCACAGGAATGTGTTAGCTCCTCACCCTAAATTAAGAGAATGTCCTGGTAGATTAGAACTCAACCCTTTAGTCCATATTTGGATTTTATTAATGTTATCTGTGCATTTCTCACATGGTTTCCTTCTTGTAAATCTTCTGTCTTTTGTAGGGAGAAGGGATTTAACTTTGGGAGAACCACTCCCCACCCCCACCACCATTTGTGTAATGAAGATAGCTTAAAGATTGATAACTGCCATATACATTGCAAATTAAAATGGAAACTTAAGACAATTATCTAGCTAATACAAGGCACAATATCTGCATCGACCACCTACTTATACCAGGTTTTAATATTGAAAACTTTTTTCAATTATCTACAGCCTGTATAGTGATAGCCATATATTTAGTAATGGAATGGTGGTTAATAGTCTGTTTATTGCACAATTAATTGTAAATCGTAATAGGATGTGAGAATTTTTCAGGCTTTATGATCTCCTCTAAATGTTTCCAAAATTGGCACAAAGTGCTAACTAAGGTTTATATATACTTGTAACTGTATCCTGTGCCTTGGTTTTACCACGTCAATGCACTGTATCCTCTAAAAGTTTTACAGACAAAATAGAAGGCATGATAATACATCAGAATTATGATGTAAAAATGGGATCCTATGTAATTTTTAAATGTTCTAAAAATTTTATCACTGTTAAGACATTAGTTGTTCAGTATTATTAATGAAATAGAAATTCATACTTTTGTATGGACAGAGAATCAAATTGATATTGCATTTATAACACTGTCAAGAAACTTTCATTTTGAGCAGCTTTGTAGATGGTGGGTGTTTTCTTTTCAATCGCCATATTTGATGAGTCATTGAAAATTGGCGCCAGTGAAATTGTTCACCTGTGTTTGTACAAACCAATGGTGAGACACACACTGTTCTAAACTGTGAGGGTGCCTAGGAAAAAGAAAACAATTCTTTAAAGAATTTTTTAAAAAATTGTTTTTGTTTGCCAAGGACTCAGGAAAATTAAAGTATTTTCTATTTTTAGGATAAATCATAAATGAAACATGTAACTGGCTATTACTGTTTACCCATATAAAATATGCTGCTAAAGTAATAGTATTTTACAACTTCAGTGGCTGGACAAAAATTCTTTTAAAATTTGGACCTGAGAAATCCTATAAGGAATATGTCATCCAACACGTAGTTCCTTAACTTTGTCACAATTCTTTGCATCTCTATATAGGAAGACGATTTCCACTTAACAGTGAAAAAACAAAGGGGAATGCTCTTTTGCAATCAGAAAGTGAATTTCTTTTTGTGACAGAGTAAGCACATCTGGTACCGTTTTCCCTGTTGAAGCACAAGCCACAGTGCCGAACGTTACACCCCCTCCCTCTTCCATGGTCCCTGGAGGAGGAAGGGTCCGCACGTAGGCCGCCTGGGGAGAGGGGGCCAGGGGGCCAGCTGGCCTCAGGTGGAGGGCTGACGTATGCAGGTGACGGCTGGCTGTCCACTGAGATTGCTCAGGTGCTCCCGATGCTGCTCACCTCCTGTCAGGAGCTCCGGCAGGGGTTCTCCAGCCTGGCAACATGCTGGAATGCCCCGGAGAGCTCGCAGAGCTACTGATGCCCGGGCTGCCCCCTCGGCCAGCGGAGCCGCAACCTCTGGGAGGTGGGACCCAGGCATCCATAGGCATCCAAGGCCCTCGGGGGATTCGGAGGCCACTGAGGCCGGAAGGCACTGAGCCCCAGTGGACTCTTAGGACCAAATCCTAAACGATGATAAGCTTCCATGTTCTTTCCTTCACCAGAAATTTGCAATAAGAAAAGTAAAATTTCCAAATCCACACGGTGTACGATTTTTAAATTTGAAAGTATTGGAGTGTGAGGCAACCTACTGGGAACTGGAAAGTCACGGGGACCTGCTCCGTCCGGGGGTCTCCGAGGCCGTGGTGCCTTCTCACCTCTGGGCCCTGCCCGCTGGCAGTTGCTAGGGTGTGCTGTGCGCCTGTGCTGCATTGTGTGTTCACTCATTTCATTGTAGCAGGAAGTACTGTTCGCTCCTCTGTTTTGCAGATGAGAAAAGTGGGTCACCTAAAGGTTGGGCAACTTGCCCCAAATCCTGCAGCTAATACATGGGATCCAGGATTCACACCAGGCAGCCTACTTCCACCGTCCGGGCATCTAACTGGTATGCCACTATCCTACCTCTAAAGATACATCCTTACTTCCAGCATAACTCACTCACCAGGCCACCACCTGCAGCCCCATCTCTACAGGACTTTCCAGCTCCACCATCAGAGCCCCTTTGCTCTTTAATGTCCCAGTTCCAAACACCTACGAGAGACATCTCAGTAGCTTCCCTTGGGTCAGAAGACCTCTGGTTTATTGTTGGGGCCAGTTGGGGCCACAGGACTGAGTGGTCCCAGGCATTTCAAGCCCTGTGCTTGGGCTGTCCTACGCAATAGACTGCGGTTCTGTGTCCTGGGAGATGAGTTATGCTGGGTGACTGCAGAGCAGAACAGAAGAACAATTCCCTTTAAACTATGCTTATCCCACCTGGCTCTCAGCCTGAAAAAACCCACAAACCACTCACAACTTCCTGGAAACTCAGTGGGAACTATATGGAGTTCTGTCACTGTCCTCCTCTAGCTGTGTGACCTCAGGCTGTTCTCTTAACCTTTCTGAATCTCAGTTTTCTCATCTGCAGAATGGAAATTAGAATTGTTTAAAAGAGGCAGCTAGGTTATAATTTTTGAAACGTTGAAGTAGTTAATACAATATTGGGTATTAAGTGGTCAAATATGGAATATGGGAGAGGAGATATTGGTGGTGTAACATAGCAAGTATATGGGGGGGGGGTTGTGGTCCATGTTTTGGCTCAAAGCATCCCATTACCTGCTGGGATCATTTATGGTATCCCATAAATGAAAGTGGTATCCCAGCCTGAGACACAGAAGAGCAGTAGAACCTGGATGGAGAGATAAGTGGACAGGACCAGAATGGGGAAAGTCCCTGAATGTGGGGAAGCTCTGGGCAGATCCTCAGGCTACTCAGGCTCATGCCTGGAGCAAGCATGGCTTCCACAGGACTAAGCCTGGGATGAGGAGCATCCACTGAGGGGCCAGTGTAGAGAGGGCTGTGATGGGTGGGATCAGACCCAGAAGGAGGAAGCAATGAATAAGCAAACTTATATATACAATGGAATACTATGCAGCCACAACAAGGGAAGAAATTCCAACACATGTTAAAGCATGGATGAATCTTGAGGACGTTTTGTTCAGTGAAATAAGTCACAAAAAGACATATGTTGTATGATTCCACTTGTATGAGGTATATAGAAGAGTCAAATTCATAGAAACAGAGTAGCATGATAGTTGCCAAGAGCTTGAGGGTCCGGTGGGGGTGGGGAGCTAGTACTGAATGGGTACAGAGTTTCCGCTAGAGAAAAGGGAAAAGTTTTGATGGTGGTGATGGTTGCAAACAATATGAGTGTACTTAATGCACTTAATGTACTTAATGACACAGAACTCTGCATTTAAAAATGGTTAGGGATGCCTGGGTGGTGCAGTTGGTTAAGTGTCCAACTCTTGGTTTCTGCTCCGGTTGTGATCTCAGGGTTGTGGGATCGAGCCCTGTGTTGGGCTCTGTGCTCAGGGGGAGTCTGCTTAAGACTTTCTCTCCCTCTGCCCCTCCCCTCTGTGTGCTCTCTCTCTCTCTCTCTAAAATACATAAATCTTAAATGGTTAAACTAGGGGCGCCTGGTGACTCAGTCGGTTAAACATATGACTCTTGTTTTCGGCTTAGGTCATGATCTCAGGGTCGTGGGATTGAGCCCCGTGATGGGCTCTGCACTCAGCGGGGAGTCTGCTTAGGACTCTCTCTCCTTCTGCCCCTCCCCAATCTCTCTCTCTCTCAAATAAATAAGTCTTTTTAAAAAGATATATGGACTTTTTACTAATTTAACCATTTTTATTTATTTTTCATTTTTTTTAAAGATTATTTGAGAGAGAGAGAGAGCAAGTGAGTTGGGGGCAGAGGGAGAGAGAGAGAGAAGCAGACTCCCCACAGAGCATGGAGCCTGGCACAGGGCTCCATCCCATGACCCTGAGATCATGACCTGAGCCGAAATCAAGAGTCGGATGCTCAACCAACTGAGCTACCTGGCTGCCCCAAAATATACATGTCTTACAGACAACAGAACAAAACAAGAGAAATGGATTCCTTGGCCGTCCAGTTGAGCCTTCAGATGAGACTGCAGCCCTGGGAGCTTTACTGCACCCTCCTGAGAGATGTTAAGTCAGAGGTACCCAACTAAGCCATGCCCACACGTCTGACCCACAGAAACTGTGAGATAATAAGTATTTGTTGTTTTAAATTGCTACATTTTGGGGCAATTTATTATATGCAGCAGTAGGAAACTGATGCACTAGCACTGGTAATCTTTTTTTTTTTTCTTTTTAAATAGTCTGTACATTTATTTGACAGAGAGAGAGAGAGAGAGAGAACACAAGCAGGGGGAGGGGCAGGCAGAGGGAGAGGGAGAAGCAGTCTCCCTGCTGAGCAGGGAGCCGGATGCAGGGCTCGATCTCAAGACCCTGGGTTCATGACCTGAGCTGAAGGCAGAAGCTTAACCAACTGAGTCATCCAGACACCCCTGGCACTGAGTAATCTTGACAGAATGAAATGTGTATTTCTTGTGCTACAAATTACATGTTCACATATATAATCTCATTTAATAAATTTTCTGAGCAGGACATGATCTGAACTTATACTGAATGGTATATATACCTTATCCCACTTAATCTTTGTAATTATCCTGTTCGGTGTGTACTATTATTTCCATTTTGTGGATGGAACAGAGAGGGAGACGTTGAATGTTAACTAATATTACAGTTGACTCTTGACTAACAGATTTGAACTGCACAGGCCCACTTACATGTGGATTTTTTTTTATAAATACAGTACTGTAAATGTATTTTCTCTTATGGTTTTCTTAATAAAATTTTCTTTTTTCTAGCTTACTTTGTTGTAAGAATACAGTATGTGATACATATAATTTACAAAATAGGTGTTAATTGACTATGTTATCAGTAAGGCTTCTGGTCAACAGCAGGCTATTAATAGTTAAGTTTTGGGGAAGTCAAATGTTAAATGCAGACTTTTGACTATGTAGGGGAAGTGGGGACAGTTGTTGGTGTCCCTAATCCCCTGCATTGTTCA